ATCGATTTATAATTCAGTAACAAATTCGATAAAAAAAACTAAAATTAAGTGTTATATGATGTAGTTTAGCCTATAAATTAACAACAAACCCTAGCCTGTAGCCGTTGTTTTCTCTCTTATAATTGTATATGCTTTTTAGTTGTTTTTTTCGACTTTGAAACGAATATACAAATTCCAAATTTATTGTCAAAATATGAGTGTCCTCTTTTTCTTCAATTTCAACTAAATTTGGAAATGGGAAATACCAACAAATAAATGATGATAATGATGGGGACAATGAAGTCATGACAGTGCATGAGGCAGTACAACAACTGGATTTACTAATTCATGTATTTTTTACGTGTTTTTAATATCAATAAAATAATTAATATTAATATTTTTAAAATTTTAAATTTGAATCGTATTATAAGTAATATATATATTTATTATTAATTGATATTTTATTATGATTTAATTTTCATTATATGTAAAAATATATTCAGATTTAATTTTATTATGATTTAATTTTCATTTTATGTTATCATTTTGTTTTTTTTACAATATAATAATTGGTTTTTGCCGTTATTATATACAAATATATAATTTAAGGGAAATATCGTTTATTAAATCAATTTCTTTCAGAGGTCCCTCCCAAAATGAAAAGTATAATCCCTCAAATGGCCCCTTCACTTGGGGTCGGGCCCATCTTCTCCGACTCATGTCCGTGGTTCACCATACATCGACCATGACTCCTCCTATCTCCTACTTTCTCTTTAAATTATTGAAGGGTTAACCACACCAAATACCATTAAGTTTTCAGTGGTGTATCTTTTATACCACACAACTTAGAAAAACTTAAGTTATAATATTAATTAATTTTTTTTTGGATAAGTCAAAATTTTATTATCCAGAATAGCAAAAATGCTACAAAATACATACAGGGTCCAAAATAGAACAATACATACAAATTAATCAGCAATCAACTATTCTCCAGTGGTTGCAAAGAGAAATATTCACATCAACTCTTTTAAAAATCCTACCTCTAAGTTGTAAACTAATTACATCTTTGACAGTCTTTAATATTTCACTAGCAGACCTTGAGCGACCTTGGAACATACGTTTGTTTCGTTCCTCCCAAAGTAAGTAAACCAGAGCATTAAGAAGCAGCTTCATGATCGTTGTTAGCATTGATTTACCCCTCCATGTTGAGCATGCCCTCTCCACAAAGGCATCCCCAGAGCAGACTGTGAACTACAGACCAGAAAGAGTAAAAGCAGTTTACCACAGAAGGGTAGCAGTAGGGCATTGTAAAAAGAGATGTTCTCTAGTTTCCAGTTCAGTATTGCAAAAAACACATAAGCAATCATTAATAAGACCCATTCGATGAAGCCTTTCCTTGGTGGGGAGTTTATCCAGAAAAGCCATCCAAGTTATCAAACTATGTTTAGGGATATGAAGGGGAAACCAGATTAGTTTCTGCCATGAGACTTTAGGCCTTATCACCCGAATAGAGTCTCAGATTGAACTAACTTTGACGATACCTGAGGAAAGGAGATGGTGCACTTCCGGTCTCAATTTCATAAGTTTCTTAAGACTCCAATTAGCAGAGGAGTTAATTTCAACAGACCAGAAGTCTTTGCCCTTGAAAGCGTAATTGTTGAGCCAGGCAACCCAAAGGGATCCTTCGCCCGCGAGGATATTTTTGATTAACTGGATCATGCAAGCTTTATTCCAAGACTTCATGTCCTTAATACCGAGACCTCCTTCAGATTTCAAACAACATATGTTATTCCAGCTAACCCTGGCTCCTGTAGCAGTTTTGTCAGACCCTTTCCAGAAGAAACAAGACATAGTTGTTCAACTTTCCTCAAGACAGAGATAGGGAGAAAGAGTTGACTGCACCAGAAGTTAGTAATAGAAGAAAGTACAGTTCTAATTAGCTCCAACCTACCTGCGTAACTAAGCATTTTACTAGACCAGTGATGCAATCTAGATTTAATATTGTCAATGAGGATCACACAATCCTTTTCAGAAACTTTTCTAGTAAGCAAAGGAATACCTAAATATCTTACTAGAAGGGAGCCATGTTTAAACCCTGTGATTAAAGTTATGTTTTCAATAGCAGCAATGGGCATACTAACAACAAAAAATTCACTTTTAGAAGCATTCAGTTTGAGACTAGACATTTTGTAAAAATAGTCTAAAACACTACTCACCCCTACAATCGAATCAACAGAACCTTTACAAAAAATAAGAAGGTCATCAGCAAAGGTTTTGAAAACATTTTGATATTTCGATATAACAAATTAAGTTAAATGAATTTTAAGATTTTCCAAAAAGATTTTCTAAGTATATTCGATATAATTATTCGAATATCAAAATATTACTCCAAATCTTTCAAATGTCATTTTTAATCCTTACTCAATTGTAAAATTAAGTTTTAATCTTAAAATAATTTCAAAACGATTTTACAAAATATTTCGAACCATTTCAAAGCCAAAAATTCCAGATTGCTCAGAGGGAACTGATTCCCCCCTGAATGGTTTGGCTCCGAGAATTCCAGTATACTCGGAGGGAACCGATTCCCCCCACTGTTCAACGGTCGAAATATTTGAATTTCACACTTAGGGAACCTATTCCCCTTATGGGGTACCGATTCCCCCTATGGGGTACCGATTCCCCCCACGCTCCAAACTGTTTTATTAATTAATTTCACACTAAAACGGCTATATTATCTTCATTAATGATCCCCAACGTTCAGAAGTGATTCAAGGTGTATTTAAGCAAGCTTAGAAGCCATTGATCAAGAACAAGAAACATCAAGCAACTAGAATCAAGAGAGAATCAAAGAGAAAGCATCAAACCTCAAGTTTGAGCATTTCAAGCCTATTTTTCATTCAATATTTATTTTGCTTTCAAGAACACTTATTGTGCTCAATTGTATTCATTCTTGAGTGTTCTTTTCTTTGTTCTAGAATTGTGCAAACAATCTACCTTGTGAGGATTTCCTTGTAAGTTTGTAAATTTGTATTGTTCTCTTTAGGAGAGAGTGTTCTCAAGAATTTGGGGCATAATTCTTGAGGGTTTGTAAGGTTACTCTTGGTCCTCAAAAGAAAGACAAATTAGTGAATTTGTGGAAAATCCTTAGTGTGGATAGCTAAGGTAGTGGACGTAGACTTTGGTTGAGAAAGTCGAACCACTCTAAATCGCTGTGCAATTTCTTTCAATTTTTTGCAAAAGCTTCCACCAAAATTTTTATTGCCAATTCACCCCCCTCTTGGCTGATTCCGTCAATCGATTAACTCAACAAAAGGAAAGGTGAGTTAACCCGATTTTTTTACATTTGGGATGGTAGCTAAACACACCTTTGGTAGCAGCCACATTGAGAAGCCTAGAGAGGATGTTCATGGAGAGGACAAAGAGAATAGGAGAGAGAGAGGATCTCCTTGTCTTAGGCCTTTAGCTCCTTTAAAGAACCCTGACAAACTCCCGTTTATGGATACAGAAAGCTAGCTGTGGAAAAACAAGTTTCGATCCATGTGGAAAAAATATTTGGAAGACCGATAGCTTTTAAAATAGCATAGATGAAGTTCCAACTAAGGGAGTCAAAAGCCTTATGGAGGTCTATTTTCAAAGAACATCTTGGAGATAAAGTTTGTCTACTATAGCCTCTAACTAGTTCCTGAGCCAGAAGAGTATTTTCAATTATGCTTCTCCCTTTAACAAAAAAGTTTGATTAAGAGTAACCAAATCAGGCATTAGACCAGTCAATCTTCTGACAAGAATTTTGGTGATGGCTTTGTAAACCACTAAGCAACAAGAGATTGGTCTAAAATCCTTAACCTTACTCGGATTTGGAATCTTAGGAACCAATGCAATGATAGTGGCATTAAAGGCAGGGAGAAGGAAAGACTCTTGAAAGAAATGAGAAATTGCAGCAGTGACATCACCTTCAATGATAGTCCAGGTTGTTTTGAAAAATAAAGGAGAGTAGCCATCCGGACCTGGAGATTTATCATTACCTTGGCAGAAAAATGCTTCTTTAATTTCCTCCTTAGTGACATCGTTCACTAGGGCAGCAGCCTTATCAGCATGAATAGAAACTTTTATTAATTCCTTTAACAAATTAGGATCAGTATCATTAACAGCAGAATCAACAGTGCCTAGCATTGTGGAAAAATATTTATTGACCTCGGCAGAAATATCATCAAAGGTTTCAAGCCTATTCCCTTGGTCGTCTAGGAGAACTCTAATAGTGTCTCTTTTATTTTTAAGAGCAACAGCAGAGTGAAAAATTAACAATCATATGACATGGTAGTTTGGTATTTACATGTGCTGACGTGTATCAATTTTGTATTTAAATTTTAAAAAGCTTTAATTTTAGGTATTGAATTTTGTTTTGTATATTAATTTGGTTAATGTCAATCAATTGTCATCTACCATTGCCCTTCATCCATAGTAAGATTGACACCAAAATGTTTGAATTTCACTCCTTTATATTTTTAGATTAATTTTATACGAAATTCGCTCAAAATCAATGAAAATATAAGTGAAATCCGAATATTTTGATACTAATCTAGCCGCGAATGACGATTAGTGACGACCGAAAATGATCAAATTAATATAAAAATAAAAATTTAATGATAAAATCGATATAAAAACTAAAATTTTATTTTTATAAAATCATATGATCACATTATTAATAATTTAAGGATTTAATACTTACATTGAAGAAATTTGGGATGTAAATAAATGGAGGGATGAGGGATGGCCCTCCATTGTTTGATGTAGGATGAAGCCACGCACATCAGGACAACACCGCATGTTTCCTTCTTTCATGTCCAAATGTTAATGACATATGTACGTAGCAGTCAATATTATCAACAAATGTAAATTAAAATTATGATTTTCGATCCACTTTAAAGAGAGTTAAAAATCGAACTTTGCTATTTTCCATTGGAGTGAAATCAAAGTTTACAAGAATCATAAGGGAGACGAAGTGAAATTAATTAGATATGAAATGGCCCCCGCCCCCAACCTTTTCCCACTTCAGTGTGCCGTTTGCTATCTTCTTGTGAAAAATTACTCTAGGAAATTGGGTTTTAATGAGAGCATGATCCTTTTATCGGGGAGGGAACACATTTTACTATGTAAAAATATCTTTACCCAAGTCATCTCCAATGATTTTTGAACCCAGAAAATACTCCGGTTTCGATCAGTGCTTCCTGTCTGAATATTTGGCAGAAATTCAAACCCTAGATGACTTAAAACCTTCACAATCCGAGAAGAATGTAGTACACGAGCGTTATCGGCAGTGCTATCAACATCCCGAAGATAACCCTGAAAAATAATTATAAATTAAGACATCAGCTACCTATACATAGTTAAGATATTATTAAATGTATTTAGGGTTTTCCACTTACGCAGTGCTGAGAATTGCAGGGTGAACATTGTATTCTTTGGCGAACACAAATGGTACAATACCTTGTGGAAGAGCCGCCTGTTAAATTTTGAAACAAAATTTAGCTAACAGGCCTAATAGTTATGGAGGAATGCAAGTATTTTTCTTTTTTGTATGTTACCTGAACAATGGCGACGCGGAGGAGGGTGCCACGTAACCCTACAGCGATCGAGGCGGCAGTCATGACAGCCGGACCGGTCAAGAACCTAACCGCCATGGCGAAGGTGGCTACTGAGTTCCCACAAGCGATGATCTTGGGTTGCAGTGCCATAAACAGACCTGTTTTTTTTTTTCCAACTATAAAACTTAAAAAATACGACTTTCAAACCAACTACCCTTTCAGTAACTGGTGGCCTGATTGGCTTCTATCACAACCAATGCCCACCGACCCTGAACCGGTAGCCAGCGTCACAACACGACCCTACTTATCGGGAGGTTAAATTAAATCCCGTTTAGTCCAAAGATTAGTTTTGGAAAGGAAAATGGTCCATGATATTATATTACATGGATTTTTTGTTCTTATGGGTTGTCTGAATTCGACAATTGTATCATAAACAGTTAAAATATCAGTTAAGAGATAAAGCATAAACAAATAACTGAAATGCTTACCTAAGCTAAACATGGCCATTCCTAGTCCAGCATCTGATAGTATGGAGATGGACTGCTCTATTATTTTCGGCATACTCACATGCCACCTGCATTAATTAAAACACTTATAATTAGTAATCTATTATTTTCGATAATCATATGAATTTAATTATATTCGTAGTCTATTCAAATTAAAATTTGATTGACATAATGAACTGACCTGAAAGCTATTAGGGACCAAATCAGTCCGATGAGGCTGGAATATGTGTTGGGGTTTCGGATAAGTTTGCGCCACACCATGATTAAGATCAAGCGGGTCATTACACTGGCCGGAGGCATTTGTTTGCCACCAACAGTCTCCGGATGCAACTCGGCCGTCGAAATGGTGCCCAACTTGTTGAGTCCATTGGGTCCTTTTTCTCTCTCTTGCTCCCCTTCTTTTCCAGCAAAGCTGAAGTCTTCTCCATTAAATTCACCACTAACTGTCAACAAATTGTTAGTATTAAAAAAATAGCAACTGTTTAACCAATTAGATAAATTAATTTATTATTACCTTTGTTTACCCCATTTTGAGGGTGATCAGAAACCAACATTCTGATCTCTTTAGCATCCTGCTCGGAAGCTCCGAAATCCTTGCCGCCAAAGACGTGAGGTCCGCTAGCTTCTGATACCGGCGAAGCACTCGAACTCCACACAAACATGTGCAACTCCTTTGCATCATGATTCTCTTTATTATTCTCCTTCTGCTGCTGCTGTTGAGCTTGTTGATGTTGGCTAGCTTTAGCGGTCTTCCTCACGGATGAAAATTCCGGGTTCGGAGCAGGATACGATGTAGGAACGGTCTGTGCCGGATAAAACCCAAATCTCGAAGACACAACGGAGCTGTTTTCTTCGAAATTTGATGGTCTTGGAGTTGGTTGAACGGAGTGCAAATCAGCCGGACCGAAATTCGATTGCCTGCCGGGAAATCCTTGAACACCCATTATGGAATAAAAGTCCGAGTTGTTGAAATTCGAACCTCTCGGAGTCGGGTTCCTCGAAGAGCTCAAACTGTATATCTCGGCTCCGGTAAGGTTCGACGGTCTCGGAGTCAATGCGGAAAGCGAACAAGGTCCCAAAGACCTCCTCGAAGCATTAGATTTCCTCACGGTAACATGTAGCTTCCCGTCGTTTCCGATTTCAGCGTCGGTCTCGAGGAAATCCCGGCCGTCGAGCGACATGACATCCGAATCAACTTTGAAAGAAACTATGGAAGCTGCAGTTTCGGGAAACTGCTCCATGATTAGGAGTTTGGCTCCGCGGTACTCGAAAAGGAAGAGAAGAAGCGTATACCAAATAATACACTGGAGAACCACGACTTGAACCATTAGCATCCCTGAGTACGGACCGTACATGGCAATTAAAAGCGGAATGCCCATCACTAGAGTGTTGGGAAGTGTGGATAAAGAGAAAATGGTGATCATCCACTCAAGGCTCCCATTCTTGGTTAAATTTGCCCACAATCCAAGAACCAATAACATGATGAGCTTCTGTAGAGTGTCGGCCGCTATGAACCTAAAGTTCATGGCGTAAGGGTCGTTGGTCGAAATGAAATGGAAAGACAAGAGCGGGACGGCGAAAATAGCGACGAACCGGTTGATTCCCGAGCACTGGTCCGGAGAGAAAATCTTCCACCAGCGAACCGAGCCGTATGCCAAGATCATAGCCACATACAGCGGAATTACCGCCGTTAAAACGGTGTAAAGATCGCCCCAACTAATCATCTCCCTCTCTTTCTCGTTTCGCACGTAAAACCGAGAATGAACACTGAATGAGGGATAGTTAAAGCCCTTCTTTAACTAACTTGAAAAGATCGGTGCTTGAAGACTGCAAATTTTGCAGGAAAGAAAGGAAATGAGGAGTCGAGATATGAATGTTTGAAGTTGAAGGGATAAAATATATAGGGAAAGAGAGAGAAGCGGGAGATATGACATTGTTGTACTTACTCTACTGTGGGATCGAAATCCTCAGTCCTCTAAACTTGCCCCAATCCATACCTCTTTCTTTAAGTTTGACACTTGTATTTGTATAGTAATTTGTTGTCAATTTTTTTCATTTGCTTTTAAATTACTTTATTTTCAAATGACAATAAATTATACGTATATTTAAAACGTTATTTTATAAAAAAAAATTATTTTAATTATTTAAATATATAACATTTAAAATAAAGTAATTATGAAAATAACATTTATCTTTTGATATAATATGCGAGTAGGATAAATATATATCTTATGTGTGACACCTTATATTAAGAAATATATTTTTTATTAGTTAAAATTGAAAGGTGTGAATCATGATGCGTTTTTATATAAATTATCTAAATTTATTCAAATATTTGTGATTGTTCCTTTCAATTGCTCGATAATACTAAGCGATTATATTTATTTTGATGATGAATAATATTTGATTGCTTAGTGATATGTGGTACAACATTTACCATTGATACTTGATTGTGATATGTTTATTTAGTGATGCTAAGTGCCATAAGTACGATCTGATGCTAGCTGATAATACTATTATTAATTGTTATCCAATGCTAGGTGATATCATATAGCTTATTAGTAATAATGTGATTGTGTGGATAAATTTTGGAGTCATGGATTAATAAGTGGTCGACAATACTCTTGTGTTGTATGTAAAAATGACACACATGTTTCTCTTCTCATACTTGATTTACATGTTTATATTTATGAATTATTTGAAGTATAATAGAGTAATTATACTCTTGTGGTCGATAATATCTTGCATGTTTATATGATGCATTATTAGTATATATATATCCAATTTGTATTTTCATATCCAGTTAATGGATGGCTTGGGTGCTACAATTTCAATGGTCGCAATGCCAGGCTGTGTTGCCATCATACCATAAATTTATTAACATATCATCCTTTCAACCTTTAATATTGTTTTGGATATTGCAGGACCACCACAATTCAAACAAAGCAGAAGTGAATAAATTTAAATTTTGATGCTGACATTATTGGAAGCAACACGAATTCTGAATAAATATAAAAAATTTAAAATAATAATGTAACAAAAGAAGAAGAAAAATGAAGGCGACGACAACTTGATTTTGACTGTTCTATGACAGACCCCACTCATGCATGGGGATCAAACAGACAAAAACCATATTTTTAATCTATTAAAACAATGTTATAATATTAGCTAAAATCATCATTAATATATGGGTAAAGTATAGTAATGGTCACTGAACATTTCTGAAGCTTGCATTTAGGTCCCCTAACTTTTAAAACTTACAATACAGTCCTCCAACATTTAATCCATTTGCAATATGGTCACACACCTATGAAAATTAGGGTAAATTATATAAATGGTCACTGAACTTTTTAGGTACTTGAAATTAGGTCCCCCAACTTTTAAAACATACAAAACAATCCTCAATTTCATTATAAACCACAAATTCCAAAGTAATTCAATTTCATTCTAAACCCTAAATTTCAAAATAATTCAATTACATTCTAAAACCCAAATTCTAAAATACTTCAATTTCTGTCTTTTTTATAAACGACGCCAATGTCACTAAATTATTAATTAATTTACTTTTTATATTTAAAAACATATGATAATTTTTTAATATTAATTTAAAGACATGAAAATTTTTCAATAGTAAGAGTATATGATAATAATTCATTTATTTAAAAATAAATATATTTATGATTATTTGTGTATGTTTTTATATCTAATCATACGTGTTAATATATTTTATATCTTTCATATAAATATTAAGACTACATAAATTGCAGAGTCAAAAATTTATATATGGGTTATGTTAATTATAGTAATGATGTATAAATATATTTTATTTTTATATTATTTCTATTATAATTAAAATATAAATATTACCATGATAATTAAATATTTATTTACTTATTACATCGAATATTTTTTGTAGAAAAAAATATTTAATAAAATCATAAAAACACAATAAAAAAATAAACACTAAAGTTGACTACTTCAAAAATAAAATAAAAAAATCAATAATTTAATATAATATACCCTAAGTTGATGATAACAATCAACTCAAAAGAGATGGGGATTGTGCCATGTGTTTGTAACGTACGTAAACTTTCTATTTCATGGTCACGTATTCTTTTAGTTCTAGCACGATCTATTTTTTAATTTTCTAATACACTTAAAAAAATTATATTATAACTCGTTAAGTGATTTCATAGGTAAAAAAATGTTATTTCCTTTAAAAGTTTTAAATTCAAACAATTGTGTTTGTAGGGTATATCTATATTATTAATAAATTAAAAAAATGAATAAATGTTATCTTATAATCACATCAAACTATTAAAAAACTAAATTATAATTGAAATAAATAAAAATTATAAGGATGTCAATTGGGGATTTTGATTCTTAATTTTTTTCATTGAGAGATTGTGTTTTTTATTCAATTTATTCCATAATCATTTTTTATATTTAAATTATTAAAGGTCACTAAATTTACATTTACGAGGAGGGAGTGTATTTTTTATTCTTCACAAAAGTAAAAAAATCAAAACGCTATCACGTTCTTAAAGATGATCTAGTATATTCCTCCTTAAATTGAAATATTTTAGAATTTGGGTTTTAGAATGTAATTGAATTATTTTAGAATTTAGGGTTTAGAATGAAATTGAATTACTTTGGAATTTGGAGTTTAGAATGAAATTGAGGAATGTTTTGTAAGTTTTAAAAGTTAGGGGGCCTAAATTCAAGTGCCTGAAAAATTCAGTGACCATTTATATAATTTACCCTAATTTTCATAGGTGCAGGGACCATATTGCAAATGGATTAAATATTGGAAGACTGTATTACAAGTTTTAAAAGTTGAGGGACCTAAATGCAAGCTTTAGAAATGTTCAATAACCGTTACTATACTTTACCCTTAATGTATTACTACCTTGAGAAAATGATCAATTAATTTGGTCTAATTAATTAGGCTCGTGTTCGGCGATTTTATGTAAAAAAATCCTAAATAATTAATTATTTGAAAAAATAACCCCAAACAACATTATTTATAAAAATAATTTTTAAACTGCTCACGTAAGATTATTTCACATTTTATAAAATACGTTTTAAAGACATCTTGTTTTGTAAAACATAATATCCATCAACTTTTTAGATAATTTCATTTAATTTATAAATAAAAGACACTATAAATACATGGAACTCACATTTCGTAAAACGTGAAATTATAATCACTGTTTTGCAAAGCATTATGAAAAAATTGATTGAGGGTTTTTTTTTTCAAAAAAAAAATGTTGTTTGGGTTATTTTCCCAATAATTAATTATTTGAGGTTTTTAACATAATAACACCGGTAATTTTCTGCGATAGTTCCATTTATTTTGTTTTGGTAGAAATTTCTTTTGGTCCCCTAATAATTAAATATATTAATAAATTGAAACCTTGACCTAATGGCAAGATTAATGTACCAAAACTTCAAGATTTATTTAAAATTATTCTTACTTATTGACAATATATATAGATTTATATAGACTTAATTATTTGAATCTAAATTAAAAAATAATATTCTCTTTTATTATTAAGATTACTCAATAAATATATTTTGAGATTCAATGTTAAATATTCACGGTGTAAATATTATTTTATTCATTGATTTTAAATAATATGTTACAGTAATTACAATGGATATAGCAAATCTAAGAGCAGGTAAGGCTCATGGCTCCGTCGAATCAAAAGGACATATTATCATCGTAGTCCTTTTAAAAGTTTTGTACTTTAATTTAAGTGTTTCTTTGACACCTTTAAAAAAAATGTCGATTTTATCTCTGATCGTAACTTAATAAAATTACGTTGATTCATTTGATATCTATTAACTAAATTAAGAATAAATTTTAACTTTTGAATATATATATATATATATATATATATATATATATATATATATATATATATTTGTTTTAAAAAAATAAACATATATTATCTTATAATATTTTAAACTATTGATAAAAAGAAGAGAATAAGGTATAATTAAAGGGCTTGAGCTAATATAATGATGAGACGATATTGATAGGGGGAATAATGGAAGTTCATGAGTTATGAACATCAATCACATTCACATACCTAAAATATCAGTCTTCTTTTGCCCCAAACACACAAAAAATAGCAGCTTTTGGCAGGGAAGCTTACCCTCCATGTTCTTTTTATTATTATTTTAGAAAAAACATTTTTTATAAAAGAATAGTTTTTTTTTTAATTCCAAGCTTAAAAATTACACATTGATCGGAATTTGAAAACCCTGATTAAGCTAGAACCACAACATTATTAGGCATTGGAAGGGGGAAAAAAGACATTCTCTTGTAAATTAGATGTGTGTGTTTTTAAAGGTAGTACAATAATTTATTGATTGTTACATAAGGATTTTTAGAAGTAAAACTGACCTTCAGTAGAACAAAATTTAATAAAACCCTATATGATTTATATGGAGTGAGATTCGTACAATATTTAAGGTCTCAAGATTTCAACCTCGTCAAGTCCTTATCGGTTAGATGTTTATTTGTTCAAGGATGTCTGAAGTCATCAAACATTAAAAGATCAATTCAGTCTATAAATTATTTTACATCAAATAGAGCGTTTCAACTATGAAACTAAATCAATTAAGTCTTTGAGTCAAAAAATTCAACCAATTAAAATTTTCGATGAAATTTGACTGTTAAATCTTAACGGATATTTTTTTCTAAGATATTACTGTCATAAGGCATATTATG